TGGAAGTGAGTGGTCAGTTTCACGCAATGACCGCTTTAGCCTCAGGGGAAGTTCCACCAATACCCACTTGATGGGAAGCTGGTTGGGCCCTAGAGCCCGTCTGGAAGCTGTAGAGTAAAGAAAAATTTATTTTCCTTGTCGGGAATTGAACTCTGGCCGTACAGAATGTAGATAGTGTTGATGCAGTTGATAGAGGCAAAAGTTCAGCTTCACGCTCTGTTCGCGATACCTCCGGTAATCCCCTGCCTCAGTATCTTTTGAATAGGAGGTATGGTACACCTCATACCCGGTCGCAGAGAATGGCAGTTAGGGGAGGTGAGTGAATTAAAATTATTTGCGAATGACGACCATTGCGCACAAAGAGACAGACGTTTCAGAGGACTCAGAGAGTGTGGAGACGGACATTTGCTCATACCTGTAGTAAACTCCTTTGTGCTCAGTAAAAGGAGGTTGAAATGTACTAGAATCATCTGTTTTCGAGAGAAAAAAAATAAATTTAAACAAATTCTTATAACTGGGGTGTTTAAACGAACGTAATGGAATTAAGGATTTGAGGTGACCCCACCCAGCTCGATGGTATAGCGGTAATATTCCAGGCTCGTATGCGGGAGGCTCTCGGTTCGAATTCAAACGGAATACTCGTACCCCTTGTCCTGACTGATGTCTTCTGTGGGTTTCCTCAGTCCTTCCAGGCAAGTCCGGGACAGTACCTATAGCAGGCCATGACCGTTTCATTCTAGTTCTTTCCCAGTTTATACGTTTTTTATTCGTCCATTCGATAGTATGCAGTCTAGCTACTAAAAGTGCAAGGTGACCCACAAACTGGATCACTGCTACGTGATAAGGTAGTTCCGAGAATTTCTGCTAACCTCTCAGCCGTTTTTATTAAAGCACATTCAGCCTCCTATCCAATGGGTCCCGGGGGCTCTTTCACAGGGAGTAAAGCGGCAGGTGCGTGAAGCTGACCACTCCCAGTTAGTGCCGAGGTCAAGAAAGGTGGAGCTATACCTCCACTCCCTCATATATATTCATGGCATTTTCTTTTCCATTGGCACTACAGCCCTCATTTGGGCCTAGGCCTACCTCCATGAAACTCTCCGTTTCACTTCGGTTTACTAGATCTTACACATACGGTAGGACTCCTTGGGCGAGTGATCAGCTCGTCGCAAGGCCTCTACCTGTAGACAAACACAGAAAAACGCACACAAACATCTATGCCCTGAGTGGGATTCGAACCCACGATCCCGGCTTCCAAGCGAGCGAAGACAGTGCATGCCTTAGACCGCTCGGCTACCGTGACCGGCAATGTATAAGAATAATATATAAGAATTCAGTTCGTACCTCACAGGAAACAGATCCGAACCCACGATCCCGGCTTCCGAGTGAGCGAAGACAGTGCATGCCTTAGACCGCTCGGCTACCGTGACCGGCATATTCATGGCATAGTGCTATATTAAATAATGATAGAGACAAATTTACCTTATACTTGTGTAAACCTAGTTTAGCGTACGTAATCTAACGCTTATTCGTTTTTGTCGCTACCGCGCAGGCTTATGTGAAGGAATTCAAAGTTAAGCGAAGAGCAAAAAATTGAGTTTCATTTTGAAAAAAAAAAAAAAAAGATCATGAATAAACGAATAAGTGGAAATCACGAAAACTTTTTTATTTATTGCTAAGTCTGTAAAATATTAGAAGTTTTCGCGGCAGTAAAGGTTTATATTGTTTTCTGGGTTAGGACACCGTTTTGTCTTGTGATTACCAACATTTCGGGGGAACCTGTTGCTACCATTCTTCATCTTCACTTGTCACCCGTAGAAGGAGACACCAGGTTCATTCAAATAGTTAGTAACCACCTACCAGACTACACGGTCTCTTAATCAAAATATTATAATAAAAAAAACTCCGTGGTTTTAGTCCGCAAGCGAACTATACCGACTGAACGACCGCTGCTTGTCGGCGAAGTTTCGCATAGTGGGGGTGGAGTCAAACTGGGTCCACTCGCCACGGCGGCCACTGAGTGGCCTATTGTACCTGCCGCGGGTGACTATGATGATGGAGAATTTGTTGGTATGAAGATTGGCAGGGGAAACTGAAGTACTCGGAGAAAACTTACCCCAGCGCCGCTTTGTCCACCACAAATCCCACTTGACCAAACCAGGGTTTGAACCCGGGCCGCCACGATGGGAAACCAGCGACTAACCGCTCGAGCTATGCCGCGGCCTGTCGGCGAACTTAGTGCCAACAATATGAATTATTAATATGTTTAATAATTATTATAAATAAAAATCCACATTGCTCTTATAGCATCTCTTACTATCCACTTATTCCATCTAGACAACCGGCTGCTAACAATACGTTTCACAGTAGTGCAGCTAGGCAACCTGGCGAACTGTTGTCTTGGTTAATTTCGCAGATGGCAGAAGTAGAACGCTCATAACCTAACTGGGCACCTTGTTGGGCGAGATATATTTGGTCTTGTTTATTCGGTTTAATCAAGGTTTTCTATGTTTCAAACGCAATTAAATTCGCATCAGAAAGTAGGGTAGTAGTTAAATATGTATCTCATTAATTTGTACTGTAATCGTTATTTCGCAAACAATAATTAATGATGTATGGTGTTTTCCTCTGTCTACATTAACATCACTGATGTTAAAGCTTTTGCTGTTAGTGTATAACTTTCGTGCTGCAATTTCCGAAGATCTTCCAGGGAAAACCAGACAACATGTACTAGATTGAGAGAACTCGCCACTTCTGGGGCTGGAAAAATTGTTTACATACACAACAAACAAACTACGTGGTTTTAGTCCGCAACCGAACTATACCGACCGAGCGACCGCCGCTTATCAACGAAGTTAGTGACAACTTTAGCGGATAGAAGGTGTCGCGCGGTCAGCGTAACGGATCCCTACGGCCGTTAATTTCGGTTCCCTAGACCGGAGCCGCTATTTCCTTGAAATAGCTTTTCAACTACCCTCAAGAGGCTGAATGGACCCCGTTCCAAACCCACTACTCAGAAAATCTTGTAGCGCCGGGACTCGAAGCCGGGACCTCTGGATCTGTAGCCAGGAACAATCTCATAATACTAGTAATTAAGATTTTCCCAGCAGATCCTTATATCTGTTACTGTCTCTTCTGTTACTGATATCCGAGGTCCATTTTCTGTATCTCACTTATTAAGGGCATCTTCCTTCTTCCTATGCACATGACAGCGGGAACCATGAATTACAGGACAGTAGTTCTAACGTAGGAATATGAAACATACCTTTGGTTTTGGCGGCCTCGTAGTCCGGCTTGCAGACCAGTTTCCTGTCCTCCATGAGGTAGAACTCGTCGCCTGTGTTGAGCTGCCGACTGCACATGACACACGCAAAGCACTGCAGATGGTACACGTTGTCTTGGGCGCGGCGCACCACCTGTGTGGGGGGGATCCCCTGCTCGCAGCCCGCACACTTTGTCCCGTACCGCCTGGAGCACCCACAGCACCACGCACCGCTCATTATTGCAAATCACCATTTCACAAACCGAACCTCTTTCAATTTAAGATGTCCTGGAATTCTTAATCTTTTAGGATCCGACCTCGCTTAGTGGGGGGTGGAGTCCAGCTGGGTCCACTCGGCACGGCGGCCGCTGATTGGCCTATTGTAGCCTGCCCCGGGTGATTATGATGATGGAGAATTTGGTGGAATGAAGATTGGCAGGGGAAACCGAAATACTCGGAGAAAACCCGCCTCACCGCCACTTTGTCCATCACAAATCCCACGTGACCAAACCCGGGATCGAACCCGGGCCGCCGCGGTGGGAGGCCAGCGACTAACCGCTTGAGCTATGGCGCGGCCTATCACATCACACTATATATTTCTCGTCACAGCCCATTATCGGCCATTGTTAGGACAAGTCAATAGGACTAGCTTATAAATGTCTTTGTAGGTGGTTACCAACGTTGTGATGGAGACTTCTACTTTCGTAATATTATATTTGAGCAGCCCGTTACATTCATGTATCGCTCTCTCATTCACTGCCGTCTTCAATGCAACTTAAAAATGTTCACAGTCTCTCTTTAACACAAAGGATATACGCCCAACTAATGAGAACACAGTACGAAGGGAGCAAAAACACGGACTCCACAAAAGGAAAATAACGCGGAATAGAGAGAGAGTTTCGTTCTCAGACAAACACATTTTAGGGTGAACAACAATGACGCAATAGCATGGAAATATAATGGTTTCAGATCTAGTGCAGGGTGACGGTTTCAAAAAGTGAAAAATTTCCTGAAGACGGCAAAGTAAGGCCGAAACATGTAGCAACTGATGTAATTTTAATGTTATTTTAAATTAAAGAGAGATTAAGTTGCATTAAAGACGGAGGTGAATGAGTGAGTTCTGCTTCCATCTTCAGGGTAGAATAAGTGTTTCCGTAGTACTACTTGAAGATGGAGATAAAGCAATCCTCAGAAGCTATGCAGACAGAATATTAACTACAGAATAAAGAAATTCCAAGAAATATCCTCACATCTTATCAGACAAATGTCTACAACTACAGCTTGTGTGCTTTATCAGTTTGTTAGGGTAAACTTCTGCCCCCACCCAAATGCGCACCATAACCTGGGAAGATGAAGGCATATTATCCCAATGTGTTCAGCCAGGGGCGGACATAGGGGCCAGTGACGGGTGCGTTCGCCTCAAGCATCCACAAAACAGAAATAGATTCCAAGGATTTTATTCAGACATGCGTGTCTCTAAAAATCACGAAAAATCGGTTTGTACTTGTAGTTATTAAAAGAAACGATGATGATGATGATGATAATAATAATAAAGGAACTCTCATAACGTAAATTTGTTTTTACTGGTAGAGACCTCCACTCTTTGATTGCACCGAGGCCTCCACAGCTGTAAATACGACATAAATTTTTTGCAATGTCAGTTTTTATTTTTTGTCCCAGAAAACACATTTCCCTGAAAATTTACATATTTCCAATTTTATCAGTCTATAAGGATTAAACTATGAAGAGATTATACGGAGGTACTGTCCGAGTTGTACTAATTCCGGAAACTCCCAGTAGATTTATATGAAATTTGGTATGAGATGTCCAAACGGGAAGCTTTAAGATTCTATTTTCCTTCAGACAGGTGCATCAGAACGACTACATTTTTAGGAGATCTGGCCCAAATTCTTACGAATATGGCCTTCTACGAAGTTTCACTTTGTGGATAATTTTGTCGCTGTGTTTCAATGCCAAAAGCACTTAATTGATTTGGAAGAAATTTGATATGCGAAGTAGTATGTACAAAATTATCAGATAAATTTAATTTTGATTCCGGTTGGTCCATTAGAAACTCATGCATTAATACAAGGAATCGACTCTTTTTTTATCCAATTTGTCCCTTTGTTTGTAGAGCATTACACTGTTAGCTTTTCTATATCCAACATATTGCTCTTCAAAGCGCAGCAGAAACTACGTACCCAACTTCACATTTAAAAGCTCTGAACTTTACCCATACAATGTATGTATGGTTTTTGGATGATTCTCAGAATAAACAGCAATTATTTCACTAACATCAACGATCAGTTGGTCTTTGTGATGGAGACCCATTCAGTTGTCAGACAAGTGGGAATTTAAGTTTAAATCATTACTTAGATGAACCTCATACTTCAAAGTTTCAAATGAATAAATGGGTTGGTCATGTATTTCTGCCGGTCACCATATTTAATTAAATTAAATGGTTCTGCATAAGAGGCCCTTATTACACGAATTTAGGTTTTGTTTCAAGTGGTCCATCAGACAACACTCCATTTCCCTAACGGAAAGTCTCTTATATTTAATTAAATAAACAAGGAATATAAAAATAATTCTTCAAATAAAGTCTTAAAATCGTTAAGGAAGTATCTTAACGCCATGTAGCACCAGGTACGTAAGATTTCATTTTGCAAAAAGAAAAGCGACACAATTCCAAACGAGCGAACAGAAACCTGAATGACAATACTGAAAAATACTTTTACTTTTACTATCAATATTTCATATANCTCCGAAACGTCGGTTAACACCACATATACACGGTGCCAAATCCCAGAAGACTGCTTTCTTCAATATTTCATATATTTCGTTTTTTTTAATTTTTAAATAATCCATGGAGGGAGATGCCTAGTTTGTCTTCTCTTGTAGGAAACTACACTATGTAAACCTTTAAGCACAATGGTAGTTATACAGTCGCGCAGTACGTGTGACTATCGAAGGGAGTTAGGTTGGAGAATAGATTTACTGACCACTTCGCAACTACAAACAATTACACCACTTGGTATTTCTGCAATTTACACTTCATTACAGCACACAGTCTAGTGTTCTCAGTCTATTACTAGACATATTCTGGTAACGAATTCGACAATGACTATCCCTCTGCCTCCGGCTCTGGTACTCTCTTCACAGACTCCCGTAAAGAATTGGATCTCAACAGACTAAGCTCCAAACTTCGTCTCGCTTATAACCTCTCAGCACGGACCACGTGGAAAACACAGCTCTTCCATTGTTGTGGTCCAACTGTTGCAGTATTAAGAATCTGCTGCCTAGCAACGGGAAAGTGTTTACAGAGCCGTTGCCCAGAAACGGCCCTGGTATATCCGCCTATCTCGCGGCCGTTGCATAGCAACGGCTCATACACGCTACAGTACGTACCACCAAAATAGATTTAACCAGTTGTTATTTGTAAAGAGAACGAGAGAGGACAGTAGACTAAAAATGAAACAGTTTCTCATCTTCTAAAATTATTGTCATGTTCTGCATTTGCATATGATCATATTTGTCATAATTTTCATTGTGCCCTAGGACCTTAATGAAGTAAAGTAAAAGTAAAGCTATCCCTGTACCAGGCCATGAAGGCCCATAGGGTTGTGAGACGTTGAGGGTCCCACACTATCTAGACAATCGGCTCGAAGATGGCGGTAAGGTTGTCAGCCTTACGCTGAGTTAGAGTTTGAATTAAAGCATTGTCTGTGAGGGAGTTTTTAGCTAGTAAACAAATACCTGTGCTGGAACACCCTCCCTATTCATCGGATCTAACCCCAAGTTCTTTCTTCTGTCCCGAAGATAAAGGAAATATTGAAAGGACGGCAGTTTGATGACATTGATGACATCAGGAGCAATGCGACGGCAGATCTGAAGGCCATTCCACAAAACCGGTTCCAAATTTGTTTTGAAGGGTGGCATTGGTGCATAGCTTCCTAAGCGGAGTACTCTGAAGGTGACCATAGTGATAGTCAGCAATGGATAAGTAGCTCTTTTATACAGCGATGTGTTCGAGAACTTCATTGTCAGACCATGTATGCACATACGAGTATGAAACACTCACATTAAATGAGTCATCATGTAGGACAGTGATTTGGAAAATGAAAATATTACACTTTTATCGTTGTTCACAGATTTTAAGATATGATCTAGCCAGTAAGGCAGAGACCTGTGCTCTATCGCTAACAGCAATGAGCGGAAGCACCAGTCCCTATTCTGAATGTATTTGGATTGAGGTTACATTTAATCCTATACCCTCGCTATTCGAAGATGTTCTTTGCTTATCTGTGGTGAATACTCACTTGAAGAAATCGTCCTTGCAGAAGACCTGACCGTTTCGAGCGAAACACTTGTCACTGAGCTGCCCACTACATTCGCTGCATTTAAGGCACTTCGCGTGCCACGTACGGTCCAACACCTTCAGGATGAAACGGTCCAGAATCAGCTCCTGACAGCCTCCACATTTTGGGATGCTGGCTGTAACATAGCAGACACAGGGTACACAATTTAAGATAGTGAGTTACATATCTTTCAGCATATTGAGGATCATGCGGTCCAGAATCGGCGTCTAGTACCTTCCACATTTTGGGATGCTGGCTGTAATGGTATTAGTACAATATAATACATCTCCAATCCCGCATATCATCCAGGAGCTTGACTACGAAGTTGTCCAAAATCAGCTCCTGAAGGTCTCCAAACTTAGGCTTGCTGCTTGCAATGAAACAACACATGTTGACACATTTCATATCTTACAAATCGTCCAGAATCGTGATGTTAAAGCGGTCAGGAATCAGATTCTGGTAGTATCCTCAGCTGGGGATGCTTTCTTCAAGAAAATAGCCTTACGTTAAAACATCCCATATAGCTATGTCGCATTGTTGCATGTCCTTCAGAGGATGACTCTTCTAACACAATATATATTTTGTACTAAGAACAATCATTTGGTTTTGCTACATGAGGAATGTTGGGGAAGTTGTCAGATTTGGTGTTTGTGATCAAGACCTGAGATGAATGGCAGTCTTATTCATAAAAGTAGCATTTCTCCTGCCTGTAGGACGTTAGACCTTATATGAGTGAGTTGCTCTTAGTGTCTGGGACTGCACAAAAACGTCTTGCGTTTTCATGAGTGCTTGTAGAATGTCCAAATACATTTCATCACTTCTAGCATCACGTTCCTCTCTTTGTGGAACAGATCTCCTCTGGGTAGGCTGACTTCACTGAACTCCAGTACTTAAAAGGTAAAAAGGAAAGCTACGCCTGTGACAGGCCGTGAAGGGCCATAGGGTTGTGAGACATCGAGGCTCCCACAGTTTCTCTAGAAAATGGCGATAAGGTTGTTAGCCTTACGCGTCGGCCGCCCTTTACCCCCTACCGAAGATTCCTGGCATTCATTTCTGATAGAGGCTGAGTCGAAACCAGGACTATAGTGCGGTTGGAAGGATTAGGTCAACAGAAAAAAATCCACCTCATCGGCACTCGAATCCGCGACCTTCTGGCTTGCAGTATACTGCCTCAAACAACTACGCTACCGCGTGAACTCCAGCACGTAGAATTTGTATACATTTTAATAACCTATTAAAGACCAGTGATTACTGTATGTACATATTGAAACTGTGCAGTCGCCCCACATAATGTTTTTGTGTACTTCTTATGGTCCTCACAGTAAGCAGCTGTTTTTCTCTAAACAAATTAACCAGTCGATCTTTGAGCAAAGACCCTCCGTCTTTATTTTAAGGAAATCAGGAATTTTTACATAGCATTAGAAGAAATCACTTCATTAAAGGATTGGTACAGTTAACTGTTAGTTGAAATTGAGTGTCAAATACAACCACGGAACAGGAAACTTATTCTGAATTTACTTAAAATTCATTCATTATGGGGGAGCTGTGTGTAAACCGAATGCAGTATTTTCACATTTACATCAACTTCGACAACAAAATCGGAGGCATAACTATAACGCCTTACAGTCTACTGACTGTGAATCGACGTTTCAGAAGAACGCACCTCCTCCAACTACAGGAAAGCAAGAAACAGAAGGAAGTAGCTAGCAAGCAACGGACTACACGTAAGTATAACCGGAAGTACAATTCTTCATAGCCACCTCAGTTAGGAAAACTTAAATCCTACCAGTTCCAATATGTTACATTTTCTACGCGATATGATATGCAGGCGTGAGGTAAAGCTCCATGCATTCTTAACGTCGGTACCAGGTTGAGGTGAGCCGCATATGCGTCATGTTCCGGCTACGATATTGTTGGAGAACAGAGACAAAGGCTATATGTCTTCGCTATATTTCTAATACTCGTACATTCAGACCGAGGATAATAATATTTGACGGCGAGGCAGAATACATTACCGCTTTTCCATCTTTGAGAATTCTTGCTGAAATATTTTCCTATGGCCATCTCTAACAGCACCCAATTTTGTTGGGAAAATTCGAGATGTGAGTTAAAGAAAAAAGAATTCTGCATCCCTTGAATATGTAGGCGTTGACAAGTCCTTCAACAAGTGACCTGTGATTTTCTGCCTTCAGACTTCCCAGGGAAGCTCTCATCACTACTTTCAATGCTCTTCAAACAGCTCTTCTAGCTTCACTTAAAGTTTCACCAGGATCAGGTCCAGGTTGACCGGCGAAATTTATATTTTGCACGGAATCGATAAATGTTGAAGTGGCCATTCTTTCGCGTGCTAGGCTGTCCTATCCACAGGGCAAACAACAAATTTCATGCAGCCGAGCTGTAACCAAGGCGAAGTACGGTAATTCTTAAGTCTTCAGAGATGTGACAAATATATTTATCATACTACGTATGTTACACTTGAAAGTGGCCTAGTGTGGGGGAGTCCCGGGGTTCGGAACAGACCAAAGTTTTATAAAATACAAATGGAATTAATAATATTTTTCGCTAATTATATATCGAGATGTAACATAAGTGGAAATTTAAAGGTAAAAAATTTCCGTGGCGTTCGTGGCATGCAGGAAGCAAGTGGTACTATATGAGGAAGGTGATGTCAACAAATTTGTATAGATCTGGTGGTAGGTGGGTAAGACATTGGCGAAGTATTGGGAAGGTACGGGGTTCGAGACCACGGTGTCTTTTTTCAATAGAAATTGAAAAGTGAATAATTAAATGCGATTTTTCTGCAGCTATAAACCAAGTCGTATGATATAAGGAAGATCGCAGTCATTTACTTTATACATGTTCTGGTGGCGTAGAGGTAGGGTACTGAAGTTGTAAACAGAAGGTTCGTGGTTC